TGCATCGATAAAGGATGAAAGAGATGTGCTTTACATAGCTCGTTACTTTCGCTAGGACCATGGTATATCGGATTTCGTTAAAGCTGGTATTTTATGATGAAGCGTACAAAAATTTATAATCGCATTCCAATAAACGCGTGTTCATTTAATTTCAACACGTTACTCACTCCATTTTCACCCATAATCCCATTAAATGTGATTTTACCCCGCTGTGATATATCTTCTAATATACCATTACATTTATATAAAAGAAAAGTTCCATCCTGCATGGTTATTAATTCCTCTCCCCCACTCCCATCGTTTTTTTTTTATTGTGAAATACATGTTTGTCCTAATCAATATCGAGGAAAAAGGTAATTGGATACAGCAGAGGTTGAACACAAAAACTACTAGATTGTTTCAAAAAATTTGAAGCATGCATGGAAAACTTTTTAAATGGTATTTCAATCAATTTTTCACATGAAAAGCAACGTTTATGTGTGTATAAAAAAAAATTGCAATCTTTTATCAGCGATTTAATTACAAATTAGGTGTACAATTATTATTATTACTTTTAATATCTTGACGTGTAATTATTTCCACCTTCTCGTGTACAGTCACGCTAAAGTGTAAACGAATAAATAATGTTTGCGCGACGCGATATTTTCTACAGGGCGAAAAAATATTGCAGAAGCGGAAGGGAAATTAAAACACCATTGACCGCAAATACTTCCTGCAAACTTTTAATTCATTAAAACCTCTGTTTCGAATGCCCTTCTTGGTAAAAGTATTGCGTGTCTCCAGTCCATAATTTCTTCGTTCGGAAACCGTTATTAACGGAATTACCAACTAGTTCACATGCGTGCTCGGTTACAATGGTATGAAAATAAGGTCAGACGAAAGCTTTAGTTTTAATTAAAAAAGTATACCGGCACGTTTTGTAAAATCAAAATCTACGTTGTGGTAAAAATGGTTGCTTTGACGCAAGCGTGTAATCGTGTGAAGTTTTTTGGATTTATTTTTAACCTACTTTAAATTTTACACGATAATTGTTCTGTTAATGAATTATTCATAAAGATCGTGTTTTTTTTCTGATTAACGTGCTAAGAGTCAACGTATTGAGTCAATGAAATACCTCTTCTTAAACTTTTATAAAAAAACTTTTTCCATGAATAATCAATCTAAAAAAATATATATAATATTTTTGTCAATATTTTCAGTTACATTAAAAATCGATCAATTTATAATAAAAAAAAAGTATTAGAAAATATAACAACGTTGCGTCAGGAATATAAAGTGTTCGACAGAACACTACACCTAAATGTACTTTCTATCGACTCAATTTCTGCTTTCCCAGTTTAAAGTTTCCATGGATTGATTTTGTCTTGAATACCAATCGACTCGAATAGCATTCACGCTACTGTGTTGCTACTATAGATTGGATAAATTTTCTTTGAAATTAAAAAATGAAACAGCTATTCGGAATAATGTTTCGGTACAATAATTTAATTTAAAAAACAAAATACAAAATTCTTCACTGTTTGGTGAAATAGAATGGAAATGAGGATTACACCTCCACGTATTTTCACTTGGCTTAAGAAAATTTTATGTGGATATATTACACGCGAAGATTTGTTTTAATGAAGGAAACTGGAACGGGTTAAACTACGCTAAAACAGCTTAAAAGATTTCCGTTTCATGAGCTGTTATGCAAATTCGAAAAACAAGTCAGATACTCTTGAAATGGTTGTTAGTAGGTTTCTATGTTAATAGAAGTACATTTAAAATATATTTTTGAGCTATTATTTTAAGAAAGAAATATTTTTAAATCAAAGGGAAACAACATTTAGAGACATAAAGCACACTATGTTGTTTTGCTTCGAAAGTGTGAAAGAATTCGAAATTCTAAAATCTTCAAACCCTAACCCACACTTATAAAGATGTTTCAAATTTTTTATCCCTTCGAGGGTTGAGGCGTAATCTCTTAAAAAAATAGAAAATCTATTATATTACCTTTAACCCTTGAACAGCGGAGCCTGATTCAATCGTGACCAAAATTTACAAAATATATACAAGGATATTAACTTAGAGTTAAATGTATAATTTTTCAACAAAAGGGTTTCGTATATTGAAAAAATAATTTTTAAAGGAACAGTGTGAAATTTAGAAAATGAAAACAATATGAAATACAATATTAAATTAAAATTAGGCTTCTCTCCATGGTCCGCCGTCTAAGTATTAACGTTATATCAGGTTTCGCTATCATACTCATCGAGATTATAATATTATCGTACACTACGAATACTAATATAATAAGAAGTTAAAGAGTTGGAACGAGTTGAAACACTTTTAATATATTTATAGCGTTTCACGGTAACATTTTACGGTTTAAATGAAAAAGTAAAATGAGTTGTAGAACCAACAAGCTTTTTCGCGAGAAGAATACTCTCAAGGAAGGGAGGTAAAAGGGTAAATTTCTTCTTATTTCCGATCCAACGCTTCGCATGGAAATACTCCACTGGTGCATCTATGTGTATGTACATACTTATACGGGGGATACATGAACATACATACGCTCAGGGGTTGAAAGTCAGGATCAAAGATATCGAAAGAGATGCAGGAATTTAACGCTAGAGTGTACGAAAACAAAGGGTATTTCTTATTTCCTCTTGTTTCTTTAGACCTAGTCAAATGGTCGACACCTACTTTTCGGAAATAAGTTCGACAATGCAAATCGATGCAGTACAGAATACACGAATGCTTCGAAAATGTCAGAAACATCTTGCTACTCGCCCCTATATCTTCTTTAATATTCAAGCATTTCAATTAAATTTCCGAATGAGAGGAATCATTGAAAATATTGAAATTTCTTCAATTTCAATAGAGGATTATAATAAATGCCTTATAGCATGTATAAATATTTATAACGCCCCAATAATTTGGAACGATAACCATTTTCATAAAGGCTGAATGGTACAATCACGAAAATATTGAGAATTTTAATTATAATAGTAATATTCAACCGTTGACTGCTTGACAGTCGAATATTTCATTTCAAAAACAGGCAGTGGTACTTTTGGTCTCGATGGAAAATTAATCAATTGATCAAAACATTCATGAAAATAGTATTGATGTCATTACATCGATGGGATAGCTTATTAATGAAGCCATCGATCCAAATGTTACGACACAAATATCCAGGCTTATTCAGCTTTCATGTTTATATTATCGAATAGAGAATTGGACAATGTCACAACGTTCGCGAAGTTCGATACAAAGTCTAGTAGTTTGTGAAGAATAGTATCAGAGTAACTCAAAAATCGAATTTCCCGTCTATAGGCGTTCGTAATATTCGCCACGACTTATTTTTGGACGATTTTCCATTCGAAATATAGGTAATCGCTATTTTCTATCAAAAAGTTTTTTACTCTTTAAAAATATAAAAATTTACATATAAAATATTTATTGTATTTATGTTCGACCATACACGATAAATAAAAAATTTAATATGAAAAACGAGAGAAATGAAGGTTTTTAATTTTTGTGAATAGCAAGAGAAACCCTTTTTACTAGAAATAAACATCGACGAAGTTGATTCGTGGGATGGAAATTCTTTAGATCCCTTGTGATACGATAAAAAGAGTAATCACAGTTAAATTGAATTCATTAAATTCGCTTATTCAACTAAAATCGATTTAATCTGGAATACGAATATAATTTATCTGGATAGAAGAGCATAGCATAAACATTACGAGCGTAATACGTCGATAGACAAACAATTCTCCTATAAAATTCATGTTGCGTACAAAATCAACATCTTTATTAATAAGATAAAAGGTAAATGTCTACAATTAGGGCCCCAACGAGAAGTCAATTGAAAAGAGGTAAATTCTATGTATTTTTACACTTCGAATCCAAAACTGTTGATAAAATTTGGGGGTCGATTGTATTTTTTAACTTGACCAGTCAACAATAGACTCCTTGAAAAGAATAACTCCAAAGTGTGAATTTAAACGATGTGTTAAAAGTGGTACGTGTCTAGCCAATTCTAATCTTGATATCATGACGATTGCCCGTTTTATTGGATACTTTCTCATGATGCGTCCTCCGCGCTGTGCATTCTATGAACAGGAATTAGAACTGAGCAAGGAGACTATTGTTGACGGGTCAAACCTAACCTATGTAGGTTAGTGATGCGCTTTAAAAGTATTGTCTACCCCACAAAGTCATTAACTTTTGAAAATAATGATATTTACCACAATACCTTAGTAAATACAAGCGACCCCCAAATTTTTGTCAACAGTTTTGGATACGGGAGGCAAAAATACATAGAATTTACCTATTTTCAATTGATTTCTCGTTGGGTCCGTAATTGTAAACATTTACTATAAAAAAATCAATTTTCGTATAAAATGAAAATTTCTATAGAAACTTAATCTATGCTCGTTAAAAGAAAAAAGGAAAAAAAGATATTGTTATAAGGAAGGAACATGTCCAACGTACCTACCTGACATTGTCCCATCGATAGATCCACGTTGCGAAATTATTTCAATCCCTATTGCGACGACTTTTCACGCAACGCGAAAATGTCAGCTAAGATCGCGTGTTCCGTAAAGGTCCTAACATTTGCTTGAACGGCGATTCACCCTCTATTATCACGGCGTCGCTGGGAAAACAAACGTATTCATTCCGTCGATTCGGTTACCCCATCTGCTCGAAATAGGATCCTCCGAAAACTCGACAACCCCGCCGCAATTACCGGCAATTAATCGAGTACCGTACATCCAGCCTCGGCGTATCCGTGAGGTTAGCGCGAGCGATGGGGTCGCGTTGCGTGAATGTCGTAAAGTCATTTGAAGGTCTGTGGGGGACTGGTGCAATTTCGAACGAAGGGGAGAGGTGTGAGAGTATCGAATGAAGGAAGAAAGTTAGAAACGAAGATCCTTTCTTTTCGAAGGTAGTGCAAACAGAAACCAACGAGTACACCGACGAGATCACATAAACAACACTTGTCTACTCACTCTTGGGCCAGAACACTTCGCGATTTCTGCTCGATGACTCGCTTCGACTCACGGTATCTGTTGTTGTTCTTGTTGTTGTTGTTGTTGTTGTTGTTGTGTACGGTTCAGCCGTATGAACTCGGCTAACGAAACATGAAGTACGAAACACGGTTTGCAGGACGATCGCGCGCGAACGATTAAAAAAGAACAGGAGTGCAGATACGCATGGAACGTATAGGCAGAGGTTTAGGGAACGAGAGATAAAAAAAAACAAACAGAGAGATCGAGAGTGAATACAATAAAGATGTAGAGAGATGTAAGGCAGTAGTAAGGAGAAGATAAAAGAGAGGAAGAAGGAAGCCGAATATAAACTACGACCGACAAAGAGGGCAAGCAACGTTCTGAACGGTGCAGAAGCACTCGCGGTCTAGACACGTAAACCTAGAGAAAATCGACGTGCACGTGACGGCGGTCGCGACGATACTGCGCCCTATCGGGCGACCCTGCGCAAATATAATACCACCCCTCTCCTATGGTCCGGCCACACTATTCTCCTCGCCGCCATTGCCACCACCGAACTGAACCCATCCCTCTACCGACGATCGGTTTCTCTTCCTACCCTTTTATCTGCCGTCCTCTTCCACCCCTTCGCCACACCGACATCCATCCCGCCCCACTTCACCGCTTCACACTCGCCAACGCCTCTTCCTCCTTTTTCCTCCCTCCACCGGTCTCTTCCACCCTCCTATATCCCGCTTCGTTTTCTCTTCTTCTTCTTCTTCTCTTTTTTCTCTCTCTCTCTCTCTCCATCTCTCTCCTCTCTTTCCTCCAGCATCGGTGACCCTTGCCACGCTCTACCACAGAACCTGCTACTAGCGATCCCTTTTCTAGAACGGGTAGAGGGGGGATTTTCTCGGAGCTTCCGGTGCACACCGATGGCTATTTCCGTTCACGCTCCAAGGACCCAAGACGACGTAGAGGGCCGGTCGGCTAACAGGGGCTACCGTCGACTTTCCATCGCGAGCTAATCGTACGTATCGTCCTCGATCGTACTTGGTGTATAACCGATTATGTCCAACGACCGATAAGATTTCTTCCCCAGCTATGGCTATTTGTAGCCTCTTTGAGCCTAGCGATCCGCTGGACCCGACCGTTCATCCTGATTTATCCGATGTTCCGGCTCTACGCACTGCGCACGATCTTAACGTTCCAACGGTATTCGTTTGCCCTACCGAGCGAGCAACTGCGTGTAACTTATATTATAAATACGCGTGTTTGTTGCCGCCTATCGCATTTTTATTTTCATTTTGTTATGGCGTTACGCTATACTCTCGTTTCTTCCGCATGGAACGCATGAATCACGCGGAGGGTGCTGTTGCAGAATATAACTGGAGAATATAAATGGGACACCAGAGACAATTATCCGGTTTTCCTTGATAAATAGTCATGCGTTTATCTGCGCGATTATGATTTAATTATTATTACAGCTGAGGAATTGAAAAGGAAATACCTTTCCGTTAATTATTATAATGTTTGTGTATTTAGAACGAAAGAAATCTCTCGAAGTGATATTTATGGAAGATGTTCTTTTATTTATGGTAATGTTTAATTAGGGGAAAACGAATTCGTTTTTTATCATTTGTATACCTACTAATAAATTTTTCTGAGAAACTTTTCCTGCGATTGAAATGAATTTGTAATATGAGAAACGAAACAATTGCTGATATTTATTAATTCTGGAGTTATAGAAAAATGAATTGACGTTCGTTATTTGTACGTAAATGTGTCAATTACACGGTTGATTGAACAAAAATTCATGAAACGATGAATCTAAATTTAATTGGTGTTAAAACGATGGGAAAGGACACGTTCGCTGGCAGGAAATTTATTTCGAAAGTGGCGGAAATGTAATGGCTTGGGGTTGCTTTTCGTGGTGTCGCATTGATCCTCATTACCACATTAATCATAAAATGAATTAATTATAGTATTAAGACACTCTAGAAATTTAACTGTTACTTTACGCCACCGAACACATGCCAGGAAATTAAATGTTTCGCGACAACAATTCCAAACACACGACTGAAACAATTAACTACCGTTGCAATGTAAAAAAATTAATGTTTTGGACATTAAACATAACGAACTAACATGTAAGCAACATCTACATATTTCTTTCTAGTCGACGAGTTGAACATACTTCACAAAGTGCGAAGTGACAACAAACCAACTCCAGAGGGGACAACATGGAGACATGTTATCTTCTCCGGAGATAAACTGCTTGTAAACTACGGTACAATTTAAGTTCGCAATCATTACATTGGTAAACATCTGTATTGCAGACAACTGTCTGCAATCCTCCGGCCTGCAAAACAACAAACTAGAAACCAAGCATTACAGCAGCGACCACGGAATGCAAGTTGCACGGATGAAAATAGAGGATGCACTGAATCCACTTTACAAAAAACATGAAGCGAAATGCAATTAAACCGAATTCAAACAACATCCGTTTCCAATATTGAAAGAAATCTTACAAATCAAATATTGTGCGCCATTGAAGACACCATCTTCGTCATAAAAGAATATAATCTAAAGAGTAAGTAGATACAGTCGAAGACGAAAATAAGTGTACACTGTTTAAAACTGAATATCTCAATTAAAATTTGACCAAATAACTTGAGGTTTTTTGAGAAGCTATAAAAATTAATTTACTAAAATATGTGCTTTCGCCGTTTTAAAAAATTAGAATTTATTGAAATCGTGAAAAAAAATAGTGAAGGGTAATTTTTCAACCTTTTTATGCGGATCTATAATGAAAATTTAAAATATCTCTTTCGTAGATTCAAATACGTTATGTGTATGCTGAAAATTTCATCGAAATCGGTCAACGCAATTAAAAGTTATAGATTTTATTTTAGTAAATTAATTTTTATAGCTTCTCAGAAAACCCCAAGTCATTTGGTCTAATTTTAATTGAGATATTCTGTTTTAAACAGTGTCCACTTATTTTCGTCCCCGACTGTATATAAGAACATGAATAATTTCTTTAAAAAGTTACTGAAATATATGTTATACATAATCAGTATAACTTCGCAAATCAAACAACCACCTGTAGGCGACAGTCATATTTGAGTCTTAAGAGCTAGAGAGAAGGTATTCTTCGATGGCTTAGTAGATGGATTGAAAGAGCAGTCGCCTGGCAAGTGAAAGATTCAAGTTCGAATTTCAGTTAAAAACAATTCGATCGGTTGAATATTTTTCTCCCTACATAGGTATCTAGACAAAAAATGAAAGCTAAAGCTATCTAACTACGTACATACTAATCACAAATCAATCTAACATGCACCTGTAATGTAACTACAGTCGCTAATAACCCTTAGACGTTGATGCGAATTTAAATAAAGAAATAATAATAAAAACCTAAATAAGTTATATCAAAGCTAAGAAATATCAAAATCCTAATATGAAGCTTTTATTAATTAGGAGGTGCAAAATTGTCTATTTCCTTCTATTCATTATGACAATTTCCTAAAGTTATGAAGGAAAATTCCTTCAGATGATAATAGAAAAAGCACAAAATTGTAAACAAGCTGCAAAATGTATACCAGCCATCGCAGAAGATCACAATTTTTACATGATGAGCGATAACAAGGTTTGCACATTATAGGTTTCGATATCCTGAAAAATCAATCACTTTAAATAAATACTGCCAGGAGTTAGTTAAAATTCCGGAGGATCTCAGAGAAACAGAACGAAAATTGATCAACCGAATGAAAGCCGTTCTATTGTATGACAGCGTTTGTTCGAACGTCCCTCAAACAACTGCGCGGAAGTTCAATCAATTAAAATGTGAAGTTCTACCACATTCGACGTATTTTCCCGGTTTGTCACCAACAGATTCTCAATTTTCGAAACAGTTAAAGTATCCTCTCCAGCGAAGAAACTTATTTGTTACAAAAAAATTTGTCTGATTGTAGAAACCTTCAGACTTTGTTGACTGTAATAGTCGAAAATTTTGAAGAAAAGATATTACAATAGATACAAAAAAAAAAAAATAAATAATCGTTTGCTACGATTCTGATATTAATTTCACATTTTTCAATAAATTTCTGTTTCGCTTATTATTTCGCTTAATGTTTTGTTCATGAAGCGTTTGAAATTTTAATTGCTTGTCCGAAACTTTTCATTTCAACGTTATTCAAATCAAATAATTACAACATTGTGAATTATGCAACCTTTATTTTATTTAATCGTAAATGGAAATGCATGTATTACATTAAATATTTACGATTAAACATTTTTCAATTAATACTTCTTGTTCCTTTTCTATTTTCAGAAATGTGAAATATTCATTTTTCGAGCGTATTCGTTTGAATGCATGCGGAGGCGTGCAGAATGAAAACATAATTACGCGTGGTCCGTTCGATTTATGTTTACAAAAGAAAAGAAGTTACAGAGGGATAAACCATGTTGTACCATTCGCGAAACTCGCTGGAATAAGGGAGCGCTTTGTAGAATAGCGCATTGACGCAACAAGTAATCAATGCTCCGTCTCCAATTTACACTAAATAAAATAGAATTATTAGAACGTTTTTTCGGTTTACAGCGTACAAGCGGTATGACATCCGGTTTTCGATTAGAACGATGCATATTCGATTTCCGGTTCCATAGTAATTTAATGAGTCGTATAGTTTTCTCCCTACAATTTTTAAAAAATAAATTGTTACATCTTGTTACACTATTTCTTTTTTCGTAATGAAAGCTAATTTTAATTAAAATTTTACTTATGTAATAATTAGATCAATCCTTGGTCATCAAAAGATCCATGGTCGAGTATTGATCCTATAACTCGATCAACTAAACATTCTTTTGCTACAATGTTTATCATTATTTGTCACGATCGTATACTATATCCTCTTGAAAAGTGTTTTCGGTTTTGAATCAAAATATTTGCTTCAATTTCATACACCAGAGTTTATATTTTCTCACACTTAAGGTACTTTCTTCGTGTATCTCATAAATTCTTTCAATAATAATCTCAACATCTTTTTTTTCTTTCAAATTTCTAAATGATCTAATATAACGGGAATTACTTGACAAATTTTTAGATATATAACTCAACTATTGAATAGTATGAATTTGAACTTAGAAAGTAAAGTAGAGCAATAATAATATTTTGGGATAGTCAGAAATACCTCTGACGCAGGGTGTATCTAGGTCAGGCACGTAAAATATAAACCATCATTGGTCCAAATATCAATTGTACAGGATCAAATGCACTGAGGCGCATGAGTAGTATTCCAAATACAGTATAACGTAAACTAATATTAACTAATATGAGAATTGTAACTATCACAAAAATTTTGATTAAAAAAATTATTTTTATTTACAATCGACCAACATCTAGTACAGTCGCTAATAACCCCTGCTGTTGATGCGACTATAAACTCTAATATAAAAAAAAAAAAAAACATTTTCATAAATGAAAGCCCGCAAATTATTTCAATTATTTTATTTTCATCAGGACACACAAAAGTGCATTTGCAAAAATTGCATTCGATTGAATGTAAAAATTTCTATAAATGATACCAAATGACGGAATATCGATTTACCATGGTAATTGCAAATATATTGACCTTTTCATGTTGTCGATCGCACACTAACTGTTGGTGGAATGTAAACATATATTCGGTTGGGAAGGATTTCCTTTATTCGGCTTACAGTCGTGTATCGACTCGAGGAAGGCTCAAGAACGAATGAACGTACGGTCGCGCTTCGGCAGGGCTGCCGCCGCGCGCTGATAATTCGTGTGTTTATGCAAACGGATTAACTCGGTCCCGATCGCGGTACCAACACGGCCGGTTTTGCCGCTATCCTAGCAGCTCCGTATAGACTTCCTCTTTCCATACACTCACCGATCGTCGTAGACTGAGGAGTAAAAAGTTAGATAATTACACTTGATTTCGCACGTAACACTCATTGTACGTATTCATTGGTATTGAAGAAGTTATATAAAACCGACACTGCAAAAAGAACAGTAATGCGCTTTACAATAAATTGTCCTGGAATGGGATTATTTGATTTACAGTAACGTAATCAAAAATGTTATTTTTAATTTTTTAAATATTGCCTAACCATTTGAAATATTTAACACTAGAAGATTCTTATTTTAAATTATAAATTTTATCGAGGTATTAGCTATTGTCGAGATAAAGAATGGATGTTTCATCCTTTATCTATTTAATTTTCTACATTATTTTCCGTTTAAAAACGTCAGTAGTTCTAATGTTAATATCTAAAATTGTCCTTGCCCTACAACATCGTGTCACACTCGTGACGCAACTTACAGTTCAAACGTGTTAAATTTGAATTGAAGTTGAATCCTGAATTTAATTCTAATTATAATTTGCTCAGTCAAGGATTGTTGAATGCTACGTATGCATGACATTTCATTTTTCTTTGTTTGTTTCAAAATTGAAACAATAAATAGTTAGCCTTTACTGACGCAAATGTCGACGAAATTACAGGCGAAGGGGTTAATCAAAATTTTCTATCAAATTTCATCTAAATTGGTGTACAGGTGCGAATAAAAGTTTCATTACGACGTGTTTACTTTGAAGGCACACCTTTCACCGTAAACGTTTACTAAAATAATAAACAATGGAAGGATTTGTGAGCAGTTGAAAATGAAGTATCGGGTAGAGCAGAGGCTAATAATACCTGGAGATACACCACGGAGGACTGGACAATTCTGTTAGTACGGAGGTTAGAGCCCAACGAAGTACGTTCTTAACGACTTATCGAAGCATAGCAGCGATAAGCTCGGCTCAGTGATCACTATGTGTAATCAGGTATACCGTTACACGATGCTTACACGGACCCAAGAGCCGTAGTCTTCTATTTTGTGTGCTAGTGGAGCTGTGAAAATGCCTTTTTACGAAGCAACCGAGCATATTCGCCATCGTAGCTCGACCATACACTGTCACAGTCCCATGGACCGAGTGAGACATTGCACGGGTGAAATGTTTCACCAACGAGACTCAAAGGATAGTTAACGGCCATGCGCACCCCGCATCCTACGCCTCTGAACCGCTCCATACCCTCGCACCCTTTGTCCTCTTTATCTCCCTCTGTTCTCCTGTATCTTTTTTTTTTTTTTTTCGTCCTCCCCCTGCCTTCTTGTTTAACTGCTTCATACCTGCGGTAAATGTTAGCTCGCGATCCGCTTATGGATGCGCACCATCAAGCGATTTATTGATAAGGGTAGCAGAAGCACGCAACAAGGACGATAAAGCATATGTGGGTCACAGGGTGAAAGGATACTTTTGTATCATCTTTACGCCCATTTACATTCACCCTTGGTAATTAATCTGTGATTTTCATTATATCAACGTGTATATTACTGATGGAACGAATCGCTTTGTTTCACTGGACACGAGGGGATGAGTCTAATTAATTATAAATCTGGTTTTATGTTTCTACGGTAGTATTTTGTATCTCGGGACACCTTTAATATTTATATTTACCTTCGTATTGTAATTGATATTGAAGCGTGAAATTCACAAGTTTTTGCCAAGTTTTTGCAAATTACATATTGCTTGTAAAAAATTTTATTCAAGCGATACGTTTCAATATTTATTTCTCTTTAGCATGAAATGGTACTCGAATGAATATTAATTTATACATGTTTTCTGTCAGTAATCATTTATTTTGAAAAAGTGAAAACAGCTCTTTAAATTAGAATTGCAGACTATATTTTGTAGAATATTTCTTCAATATACGATTGATGTTTTTTTAAACGAAGTATGTAAACACCTGTTCTTTTGACGATCGACCATGTTGCATGTATAAAGCTACTGTAGGCTACCGACGGAAAAATTATAGCGTTTCGTCTCGGGAACCCGTCCACTAGAACTCGTCACTTGTCAGTGGGGCTGACGTGGACGATCCCTGTCCCAGATGCCTGGGTTCTACATTCAGAGATTTTATATGTATAAAGGCGCGTAACAGACCGCTTGCGAGAAAGGATGGAATTACACGCGCGACACCTTACGGCCATCACAGGAAAGGCCCAGGCACCGAGGGCGCCACGCTCCGCTTACAGACCCCCACACTATTATACTGCTAATACGGTCACGGGGCGATTGGGGGCGGACGTAGTCGAAACGAGACGTTTTATTATCATGGAAACATCCAAACCATTCCTTTTGCCTTCCAGGTCCTTGTGGAAAACATTTTCGGCCCAATTACCCGAGCAACACCCTCCGAGGACGTCACGGAGACCGCAGGACTGTTCTACAATAGAGATCAGCCGTCTTCCGCAACGACAATGGTTACCGATTAGCACCATCACCGGAGAAAAAGGTATCGGTACCCTGGCTCCTGGGAGCTGTGCAGGAAAAGTGCATTTCCAAAAATTCTGAGTAACTACTTGACTATCATTATGGTAATTAATTGTCGTTGGCATCGAGTTATTGCGTTTACTTATGTTGCGTGGCGCAACGCTTTATGTTTTATTTTATTTTATTTTATTATATAAAATTGTCGTGGTATTCTTTGGAGCTCGAAACCGGGTATTTGTGGTCCTTTAGTAATTAGGTACGGTAACTTCGTTCGTGACAGTGAAGCTACACATTTTCGGCCACCTGGCAAAATTATAAACAGTTGCAATGTCAGCCATAACTTCCTAAGTGCACGGTTTACACCTGAAAGCTTAAAAACGGAGGGATATCTTCTGAGATACTGGAACAGGGTTTCTTTGCTTTTTCTTTCTTTAAGAGTTTTAATCGATATTTCAAGTGATTGATTAAATATCTTGATTTTTAATTACCTGGCTTGCATGTTCTCCATCTCGCGTGACCTACATTCCTTTTTGTAAATTTAGCATTTAATACACGATATAATAAAATATTAATGATTTTCAGATATGCTGAACTTGAAAGGAATCCTTTATCAATAATTTATTATTATCAACATGCTGAAACAATATTGTGATTTTCGATACAAATTTCTGTTCGTAATTGTACCTTATAAAAGGTATCGTTCCAGATAAATACCTTGATAATTAGTAACAATTTTCTAATATGGGAACACAATAACGAACCATGCTTTATGGAGAAATAAACTCAATTACAAGTTCCGTTAGCTTGTTTACCGACTAAATTTCCAGCATAATTCGTTAACTCAAACTGCATTTATGATAACAGGTGCACTTTAACAATTTTCTTGGTTCCTTATAATCTTATTAGTCCTATCGATAGCTGTAACAATTTTCCGCTTCCATGTCCTCGTTACCCCACATAAATTGTCTTCGAAATCTAATTCTTATTACCCAATCGATTACTTTTTAACTTTTTAACGCGATGAAAGGTACAAGGCGTTGAATTTCAAAAACGTTTGTTTATAAAATAGCACGAAATCATATAAAAGAAGAGGAGAAGCTTACCTATGATGAAGAGAACAACGTTTGCGAAATTCATCGATTACAGAATGATGCGGTAATGGTTACCTTAGCATGGTTATTCTCGTCAGAACCATTTGTTAATTCATGCGAGAACACCTCGTCGTAACTCTTATTCGCTCCGCTCAGTAAATTACTAAACGAATTACTTACGCCTGTGATGAAAGAGACTGGCGGTGCTGTCGATTAGTGCTTAGTCGAGCTTATCTAGACTCCTTTAGTAATCGTCGCGCAGCCGGTTCGAGGTGTCTTTTGTTTACACCCTACTTCTCGATCAGCCACGAATATACACCGTTTTCACGCTGTTTTATCCAAAGCGAACCCCTCGAACTAACCGCGCTTTGCCACCGCACGCTGTGCCCCTTTGACTCTTAAAATAATTTTTCTACGCGTTTTCTCCCTTCCCTTTTTAAATCTCTCCCCAAACAAGCGGAGTTTATTTTAATTTGCTATAATTCTCTTTACCTGTTGCAATGAAAATATATATCAGATCACCTGAAAAATTCGTGCCAATCGTTATTGTATCAAGGGTTAAACGAAATGGGGTTGATTGGGGTGAAATGGCCAGAGTATTTTTATTATTTTTTTTTTTTGAGAGGACCATTTGTTCATATGAATCATTTAATTAATTATTACACTAATATTTAACTAAAGAAGGTAGTATAACCTCGGGTATAAAAATTTTATTATTATGATAACAATTTATCCAAGAAACAATATTACCAAAGTTCAGAATATCTTTAAATGAAAGAAAAAGTTATTTATGTTTTTTTTTTAATTAACATTACTACAGCCAGTAATATTTAACACCCCGAATGCCTAAAACGTGGTAAATGGACAAGCCCTAAAGAGGCAAACACCTATTCTCTTGATTTAGTGCAACCTAACTGACAGCATTTATGTTCAGGAAGCGAAACTGGTGACGCACAATTACCTCCTATTACTAAAATTGTTTTACACTGTGGGATTATATCCGGAAGACTGAATTCCGAGCAATACCATGGTCTATTTCAGCACAATTTCATATTAAACCGTACGATCGGATATTCGCCATTGACGTTGTAACTACCGACGCGTGTAATAAATTATCGCTCCGTTAACGAGGATCAATTTCTCTATTAGACTGTGAACACTAATGAATCTCACACGACATTATTGATAATTATTAAATAAATTATTATTATCATGCACGAAATCGAATGAAATAGGTATATTATTACCTAACTTTTGTTATTGTTGAATTACCAATGTAGAAATTGTAATAATTGCATTTACTAATTATATTATAATAACGTTTGAAAATCCATGGCTAATCGTTTTGCTGCAATTTGTTACACGTGGATGCGAAATATAAATTATTTTCATTCATTTATACGATTTACTGCAAAATTTGTGTTATAATTTATGAATTATGGTATATTATAGTGCGCGATCTAAAATTATCAATTAATAATAGATGGTATATTTTGTTAAGATTACATGTCGTATGTATGGAAATCGAAAAGAAGGTTTTATTGGTTAACAAGCTTTATTATCAACTGTCTATTACTGTAATTAAAGAAATTATCTGATATATGCACGTATGTGTGAAACTGAATTAAAAAAAAAAAATAATTATAGAATATAGGTGCTGTAATTAATTAATTTACTGTAACATTATCCAAACCAAAACTACAAATGTTTCATTAAAATTGCTGAAGCAAGGAAATGGATAAGGAAACAAATACTATTTCAAACATAAGAATAGTGTTCATTTTTATTCCCATAATCAGGAACATACATAACATCGATATAAATACATAATACATTATAATTGTATTGAACGAACGGAGTTGAAAACGAAAGAATCCAACACTTTTTATATTAAAATCGTTTCAAAAATTAACAGATTAAAATTTATAGAAAATCGAGGCCGAAGGAAGCCTGTTTTACAAAATGATACCATAATCGGTGTACCTGTTTTCATAGAAACAGTTAATTTCTGATTAAAAACGATTGTCGAGAAGAAAGTTATAGAATGGAAATTGATAAAGAACAATATAGGGATAACAATTAAATACTCCAATTGAAGTGTCACGACGTAACGCTTACTTACATAATTCTCACAATTATGGTCGATCATTATAATGTTACTAATTGAGGCATACTAATTCCTTGTCTTCGATGAAACAGAACGAAAGAATAGATTTCTTTCGCCGTACTCTGCAATTTTATCTACAAATTTCGAATATTAATATGTCATTAAATGTCGTTATAATTTACGGTTGGATTTCTTCACACGTAGCACTCCATTATAACCATAAATTACTATTTACAAATTATCGCGCTATCTAGTTCGAAAACGTGCGATCTAAATAACATCTTCTTACATCGAACAGAAATATTTAATTATTAGAAAATTATGTTTCACAGTTGTTCATTATGATAAAATGATTTCTTTTAACGTACACTAGAATTTATGTAAGAAGAAGAAGAAGCTTGTTTCGAGAAAATTACAAAATATATCTGACTTTATTGCATCTTTTTTGAGCATTTTGCAATTTTGATACATCACAATGCGATGCAAAGAAAAATCAGAATATTTATTTTGATTCTAACTGTGATCTTGACTATTTAATATTTTTTTCTAATTTTCATACAGTGAAAAGAAAGGATTTCATTTAAAGTTGAAAGAAACAAGCGGCGCACATGTTTGCCTTATTTTCTTATTATACTATTTTATAATTTTCAATCGCTCTATTTATACATTAACTTTCTATAATTAACGCTTACCGCCAGAAACAAATTTTATTACATGGTCAAAACGTGGCGTACACCAGCACCAATTATTGTAATCAGCACCAATAGTGAATAAATTAATAGAATCTTCGTGCACATTTAAAATACTATATTTAGGGTATCGTATTACTAATTCCTTTATATCTGTTAATTTCAAAGTTTTTATAAAGAAATATCCATGATTCTACGAGCTCTGATTGTTTCAAAGATTGCATATTTAGTGTCTTTATTATAATTACTAAATTTCATTTAGATCTACTTTATAATAATTTCTTGTCTAAACAATTTTACAGTCAACTAAATACCAATTATCAACTTGAAATGATCACCAATTAATTTGTTAATATAAATAATTAACAATTATCAAAATCAGAGTTCTCAGCATTAGAATTGCTGAAAACAATTGATCACTAAAATGTAGGTATACATATACCTAGAAATTGTTACTAACGGTAACGTAAAATGATCTACATATACAACGAATCTATTTATAAATATCTTAAGATATTAATCGCTTCGAATGAAAATATTCTAGAAAATAGTTCGCATTAAGTTCCTAAAAAGTCGCTCTGAAAAAATTGTCAAACTATACGTACATACAGCTACGTATCTTTATGCGTTACTCCCACCTACCAATTATTCTATTCTTTGGAATAACATGTTGTTTAATTTGCAATTAAAAGCCTCGATTAAAATCAATAAACTTTTATCGAAATAAAAAATATTATTCGATCGAACATTAGTAGACTGCCGTTCAGAATCTTCAAAATGCTTAAAAAGAAACTCGACATTTTGAAATTTTTAACAGTTTTTTTTTTGGAGATATTGAAAAAAGGAAACAAAAAATAAAGTTCAAAATATTGCCATTTTATCAAAATTTCTTTTCTTTTAATATTCTCGTTAGATTATCACTGACGCGTATATTAAAGGGTTAATGATCGAGCACGTGATATCGCGTGTTATAACGAAAGACATCAAGAACGACAGTGCACAAATGCGGATCGTCAATATAACTGAAATATGAGAAAATTATTTTGGTTATCTCACACTTCTCGATATGATTAGTATCGTGTTCTCCAGCCAGACCAATCAATTTCCCTATGGAATAATCAATCAATAATCGATTGCTTAATTATCTAAATATCTAGCTTGCTTGTGCGTACTCGGAAAAATCGACATTACATAGGAACCGATTGAAAGCTGTGGTAGAATCCACAATTAAGTAACTCGATCGTAGTTTAACGCGTGCGTTTCGAATGTGCAATATGTCTATACTATATCTCATTTTAGTTATCTTTTTGAGCTTACATTTTTCCAAACTACAACGGCCAAAAGTATTTTTGAGCTACGTATTTTGAGCTATGCTAGCCTTACAAGCGAATTCTTTACACTTCGTTTATTTTTGTTTTCTTCCATCGAGCTCGCGTTTATTCTTATTTCTCAATTTTATACTAACGTCTATTATTTAAAAATAAAAAATGAATTTAAAGTAACAGGTATTAAGGTTGTTTTCACTGTGCTTTGATCATATCTTTCTCCAATTTCAAAAATTTCCTGTATAGTAATTAATATTTCACTACTTTGTATAATCACTGTGTTGAAACAAGCTTTACAATATTTTATTAAAATATCGCAATTTTATAGTGGATAGAAATAATAATAATAATCTTGTAAAGAAATTTATAAATTTTGAAAAATGAATAATGCGAGGTGAAACGTTAATAAATTAATAAATTACGATCCTTTACGATTCATAACGCTATATACATAAGTATACGTAGAAAATTGAAATATTTAGCTCAAAGTTTCTTATGTTGATGTTTATGCGATTCTTTTGTTTGTTTACGAATAGTACATGTACTATTACCTGGTGCACGGTATCAATTGTTAATTATTTTCTGGTTTAACTATTCACAAAAGCTCATACCCCATGTCCTTATGTAACTTGTTTCAAACAGACAGTCAGCTGTTTGATTATTTAATTGATTGATTGATATGTCCTCGATAGGAAATTAACTTAAAAATAATGCATTTGCTCGAAGCGATACATTATTTTTGTAAAGCCTTTAAATATTGAAATTTTTCTAATAAGACATTTTTTGCATGTCAAATTCTGACACTTTTATGCATTGCAAGGGATGATTTTCCCTTAATTGAATAGTTGAAAGTTGAAACAAAATTGATTACGACTAGATAATTAAACACAAAATAATGGTTGACTTTCTAAATCAACTTTTGATATGCATACTCACTGCTTTGCGAATAATAGCGATATCAATATCATCCTGCAAGAAGTTCCAAATGCCAGAACTTTATAATTGCAATGTAAGTACACGATACATTCAATATCTTTAACACCTATTGAACACTGACCAATAAATTGACAGCAAATTTTCCTCGTCATTGTAATTTTTCATGTAGGTAATTATTATTCGAAAACATTTGAAAGTTCAACAAAATGTAAGAATATTAAGTACAGAATTGAATGAAAAAGTAATGAAATTACTATGACGAGGAAAATTTCCTAATGAGAAAATCGCAGACCCACTAGAAACATTGCATAAAGTTAATAAATGGGTCAGACAACGATTCTCTCAATAAATAATCATTTAAATGATCGTTTAAATTAATCTAACGTTGTATTAATTGAGTCGAAATTAAGTTATACTAGGAATCATTGAAACAGGTACCCGCTGCCTACATAGCGATTAGAATGATTCGAAGAAATTCTTCCATAAGGTCGCATTTGACTAGATCTCTCAAGTATCTCGCATGCTTGATGACATTTTACACTTAACGACGGTATATGTACAATGTATTAAACGTACATCTGCATAACACGAAAATTTTCTCAATGAGAGTCGCTTACATAAAAGTGGCATGTCTATGACAGTGATTAGCAACCCTGAACGATGAACCATATTGCTTCTGCTGCATCTAAATGATACAATAATGGTTCGATGAACATGAAGTAAAAACTTGTACAACGTATCAAGCGAAGACCACTGTCAACAATTCATCGAATTATAGCCTCAATACCGGATTAAGATTTTTGGAGCCCGGGACTATCAACCTTTCGAAGGCCCCTGGGTTAATAAATTTGATACAAAAATTGAAATTTGTTCTAAATAAAATGAAATATTTAATGGAGAGCTTATAACAGAACCCTTGGTTGATAAACTTGGTTCAAATATTGAAATTTATTCTAAATAAAATAAAGTAGTAAATAGGGAGCCTATAACAGGGCTCTTAATTGATAAACTTGATTCAAAAATTGAAAATTATTTTAAATAAAATAAAATATTAAATGTAAAGCCTATAAGGGTGCCTTGATTGATAAACTTGGTTCAAAAATTGAAAATTATTTTAAATATAATGAAATACTAAATGGAAAGCCTGTAAGTGAGCCTTATGGTTGTAGCATCCCTTAGACTTTAGACCATCCCTTAACCCGGCGTTGCTCCAAATAATGGCTTAAATCGGTGATTTACCCGTGTAGGTTCGAATATACGGAAACAATAAATTCCATAATGCAAAAAACAGTTGTAGAAACGGTAAGCAATTTTCATTTGCATGTAAACGTTTCCTTACTACGATTTTCTATTATTTATCAATTCCACTTTCAATGAGTAGCCTTAGAATTTCGAAAGCCATCCGATGCTTTAAAATCTGAGAATAGTCTAAAAAAATTATTATTCTAGCATTGTACATTGATTTTAATATTCATTAGATCTATCGTTATCTATTAACAAGTAAAATTGTAGACATCACACTTTGAAAGACTCGATCTACACTGAATTTACAAATAATTCGTTCAATGTTTTCGATTAAACAGTACCTCATACGAGAGTGCAATTTACTATACAGAATGTAGCAATAAACTTTTCCATTGCTTCGAATAAATCATCTAAAAGCTTCTTACAAAATTTCTTTGGTCTCGATAAGGTATACTATCGTAACAATATTTTCTCTTTACTTAATAATTAAAGATATTAAAGAAGTAAAGTATAGATCTAATCTGATAAAAAACTTTTTTGGATATTTTCTTATACGACTTCTAATGAAATCTTGTAAACATAATATTTATATTAGATTAATGTTAATATTTCATTGCAGCACTCAAGTTTTCAAATTCGAAGCATTTGATCTGATATTATTTAATAAGTGCAAACGATTTTAAAATTTATGCAAATTACTGCTTTGTATGGAAAGGATTATTACTTCATGCTGTATATCTTAAGCAAATTAATAGATTATGCAATTTACTGATATTTGGTAAAACAAGCTTTGGAATATAAGCATGCTCTGATTTCGAACCCACATGAATATTTTATCCGATAAATATTCATTGAATGTAAACGTGCACTCATATGAATATTTATCCGAATATTGGACGAAGATAGTGTGCTTACATCGTTGACGTTCCAGGAACATTTAGAATTACATTAATCTGTATACGATCGAATTTTTCGCTATTGTACAATGTTCTTCTATTTTCTTCTATTTCCTATATTTAATGATAATAGAATTTATTTTGTGTGATCGATGCAAGGGTCGTGCTATTGAACGAATTAATTTTGATGCTTAGAGACAATCTTTGAGTATAAAACACACAAGAAAAATAAAAATAATCATAGTATTTTAACCAGGACCATCTCATAATTCTATTCCGTATCTTTCTAAGGTATTATTAACATAAATAAAAATTACTATTATACCTGAATAATTATAATAATAATCACAACACTATACCTTAGTTGTAATACCTAGTACCTTTAGCTTCGAAAGCGACAAGTACTAATCTATTTTCATTTTGCCTGCGATATTTTACACATTTCAATTTCATAAATAGTCAGCTGTTAGAAAATTAGAAAATCGAAATAAATTGATTTTGTATTCTACCTGTAGTATATCTTTGTTATTAAATATCAAGTTTAAATGCAACTTTAACAAGACATTGTGCTTTTAATGTATGTCTTTTTTTTAAATTAATCACGTCAACATTTTTTAATATCTTCCAATTTCACATCAAACTACGTCAATGTTCGCTATGTATTAATAAATGTATAAAACAGTTCGCTTTTTCAACTCACTATAGTTGTTGTAGTACTTTTTACAACACTAACAGTAGTAAATTGTAAAAATAATATAAGAAAAAAATTTAAACAACTTTACAAAAGAAAGCTTACAATTAATTAAAAATAATCGTAATCAATTGTTGATGCGACTATAAACTCTTAATTAAAAAAAAAAAAATTCTAAATAAAATTTTCCCAATCGCACAAACATATACAACTATATTCGTCGAAAATAGCGAAGCAGTTCAATTGATTTGTGTAAAAATCCTTGTTGTTTGTCAAAAAATACAGATTCAAATACTCCTAGCTCTTTGTGTTTCATCAAATTCGTAATCGGCAGTCTTTTTCTTCAATTAACGGGCTACCCAGACGTTGTTCGCGTCAACGTCTCGTTAACACTGAACTCGTGAAAACCTATTAATTTCCCATAAACCTGTTGCATCAAATTAATCACGCGACCAACGAAAAGCGACAGAGCTAGCCGTCCCGTCCGTATCGGTAAAATTCTTAACATCCTTTGGAAGTTCAGATGATTCTTTCAATGAAAGCGTATAGAAGACGCGTCGCGTCGCTTCGTACAAATTAGCCAAACCTCGTAGAGGACTGTTCAGGTGGTTTTCAGATTTCCTGCACGAGTCTGATCGTGTTCGCGCCAGGAAGTCGTCGTGCATATGCCATCGCCTCGCCACCATTCGTTGACATCCTTGTAAAATTTCGGTGGTCGTTCGTCGTGCAGCATGGCACAAACTCGGCACCAAAAATACGTGTTAATAAATTCGCCGGTACCCTTCCAACGGAAATACGAATTGTACAGCTCGTCGTCGCGATCCAGACGATGAAGGTATTCGGCTAATTCTTTCGGGGATTCGAACTCGTCCACGTGAATGTACGAACGATACGGCGCGCTACGGGCGTAATCCGTTGGGTGCGCACCCATCACGATCGGCAAAACGTTGTGCCTAAATTGAAAATAAAAATATATTTAATCATTTGTCATTAATAGTTTAACCATTGAACAGCGGAAATGATAATAATATGATATACAAAATTGAATTAAAATTGGGCCCCTCTCCATGGTCCGCCATCCGAGGGTTACTGAAGTACTGAAGAAACGAGTTTCTATTAAGCATGTGTAGTTAGCTATTTCGAATACGTATGAAAAATAATAATTGCATCCCACTTTCTGACATCGGTAACCCTTATCCCAAAATCTCAGCGAAGACAACACACTTCAGCAGAGTAGGGCAAGAGAGTATCTTCAAACCCACTACATGCACCGGAGAGCACTAAATGAGGGTTGTAACAACTATGTACTGAGTACACTTTGGCAATTATGGTAACAACCTGAATAAAATGTTAATAGGCCCTGTATGTATCATTTGTACGTATCTTTGCTATGTTATATACCAACAATGATGGATATGTAACTATAAATTGAGGATCTTTTAAATGTTCACTTATGATTGATCATTTTAATGTAATTATATATTATGAAATGTCATACCCAAGACCATTGACGAAGAATTTTTCCGTGATGTAATCCTTGCAATTCGAGTTCTCAAAGGCAAGATAAAATTTGTAGTCCTCGTCGAGCATTTCGAAACACGCTTGAGATTGCGAACGTGGACATCGCAGAGTACCACAAGTACCATAAATATCCACCTGTATGTATTTCGACAGTTCTTTAGCGTAATGCATACGTTGATTTCGTGGATGACAATTAGAAACGAACCATGCCACCTAGAATGAATTCAAATATACATAAACGTACTTACAGGTTGATATAAAACAGCCCATTAATCCTAAAAATCTGTAATAATATAATTATCATTACCTTCTTAGTTTTATTTGCTGCATAATTGAATGTTTGTGGTATTTGTGTGATACTGGGGTCGTAATACTGCCACCTTTCGTAGGGTGCAACTATATCGCTGTCGCGACGATAAGTTGCTGTCCAATTAATGTACGCATTCTTCACGCTCTGTGTGTGATAAGGGCACTCTAAAAAATACAGCATCCACACCTGCTGAAAATCGCATCAGTCTCATTCGAGATACATATAGAAATAATTAACAAATTTTTTAAAATAATGATAGAACTCGAGTCACGTTACATACTTGACTCGGCGATCTTCTTCCCACGTGAGTTATGTAATCTTTAAAAAGAATTAAATCAGCTTCGTCTGGATTATCCCTAACAATCGTGCAAGTGTTTACTGGGCAACGATGTTGGAGAAATATGTCGGGTCCAGCTTTTGCCTCCGGCATTCCATGCGGAACCATTATTTTCTTTAGTTGATGTTCCGCAGTTGTTTTGTTATAATCGGTAGGTACGTACATCAACTATAAAAAACAAGTAATTTTAACCCTTAACACCTCCTTATAATAAAATCTATAAAATATATAATAAATGTAGGTATAATTCTTTTTTTATTTTAATGCACCCTTGAGGAAAAAAAAAACAAATAAACGCAAGAGTGAAGAAAAAAATTTGTATTCATTCAAGATACATATCTCCACTCTTCTGTAACCCTATTTTAGGGCAGTAGTCTATATAGCAGACCGTATTGTGCCGAAGAAGAAAGGGTGAAAATCAAGATGTACGTACTATATGCCTATGCGCAATTTGAATGAGAAGGTGGAGCACAATGTCCCCATTGTCGTTTAGTACGCTTTAGAACAAAAACATAATTAGGTGATTCATTTCAAAACAGAAAATTATGGACTTGCCAGTCTATTCAGAGAACGAATTTTCACATACAATGCAATTAGTTTTGTTTAAATGTTTAACTGGGTTGCGAGTTCTGCGATAAATCAATAAAATTAAAATAAATTTTAAAATATTATTTAGATGTTTATAGTACTCGAAAACCACGCATATTTTTTTGGAACTCATTTTATCGACAATTATTTTAATTATACAAATTGTTATTAAATCTTACTTGATTCGTGACGCGATCGTCATAAGCATCTTCATCCGGCCACAAGCGCGCCAACCTTCGACCCGTACGACGGGATTTCACGGCGGGATAAGGTCTTCTGGTCCCGCCTTTCATGTACCAAGGTCTTTTCGATGGATCCATAGATTCTATACTGTTGCGCGATAGAATCGGCGTGCCAGTTAAGTTGAAAACCTTTCAACAATACAAACAGTGTTCAACAAAAACTATTCTTCTTTTCAAACTATCTCTCTTATAGCTACTGGGTTCTAGCTAATATTAAGTATGCTAAAAGCATTCCTCTCTCTTGTTCTAACGATAAGATTCATTTACACTGTGCTTCTCAATTCATTATTTCTGTCTATGATCGCAAATTGATCTTACTAATAATTGTAAGCATGTGAACAGCCAATAACGTCACTAACTGAACAATAAACTTTAACTGAAAGGTAGATGGCTGGAGGAGAATCCTAAGTAATGGGAGGAAGAAAATTGGAAACAGTCTTACGGTCGGTCCATAGTATTATAATTATGGGTAAATATATTGCCGACCGATTAGGAAGATTCGTTTCATTTATTAGGAAAATACTGCGCTTTTTAATACAGATGTACTGTCCTTCGCTCACAAGAAATCTCGTAGGGCGATATAGGAGTAATTGACCGGCCTATCCTATTTTTATAGGAGCCTTATCAGTCACGTGACAGCTTCGACCAATCATGCGTCGCGACCGAGAGTATTGTTAGCTGGGGTGAGGCGCGACCAATCAGATTGCGTTATTCTCAGCGGACTTCTTGTCAGCGGGACAGTACTTACGCCCAGGGCAATAACACGGGCACGGACGCACTATTGTGGACTAGCGAGACGTTTGAGAGTGGGGAGAGCGCTCCAGCGTTGCTATACCTTCCCACCACCGAGCGAGACATGCAGTAGTAGAGACAACGAAGCCATCGACAAGCCCGACGGTCTCGAGCGCCCGGCGTGCGCTCCTTTTGAGTATGGCTGGTTTAAAATGTAATATAATTTTTCTAAATATCCAGATGATGTTGTTAAGGTTCTTCCCTGATGCCTAGAGTACTATGAACAAGATACTAAAGCTTCCTAATGACAATTGTCAATATAGATCTAAAGGCTGTCTCAGATGTGGTTTTTGCGTTTGGTACTTGTGTTACTATCACCATCTATGGATACTACAGTTTAATAACTGTACCTCCGCTAGAAGCTTTTTCTTCGCTTTTCCCTGAGTCTGCAGAATATGCATTGTCGTTTTCCTCGACTTTGTTGGCCAATTTTGTTTCATCTGCATCGAAATTCGGTATTTATATGTTCTCAACATGTACTAACATTATTTTTTGTATTTTCTACGCGTCTTTTCAAAGCCTACTTTCGTTATATTTATAATGAAATAACACCTAGAGATTGCATTTGTTATGAAATTTCAAAAAATATAAAATAGAATGGTTTAGAGAAGGATTTAGAAGTCAATTTCGAAATATTTAAAAGTTGATATTTTCATCATTCTCTCACTATCAAGATATAGTATACCAATACACTTTTGTTAAGTATATTATTAAAATAAGAATATTAATAATAAAATACCTTGGTACTGTCGGCAACTCGAACGGATGGAGTTTGTCCGGGATGCGGTCGCATACGATGCCATATCTCGTCCTGTAACAGATTCAGGAGAACCAACAGCAAGCCAGAAGAACATAACACATAGAAAAAGTATCCCTTCAAGGAGAGACGCGGCAGACCCATGCCGCACGCTTTCCTCTTTGTCAAAGATTCTTATCTATCCATGCGCTGTTTCTCGCCTGAACCTCGATATCCATTTAGTGACGCTGAAAACAGAAAATTAAATAAATTTATAATTATATAGGTGTATATAGTACAGTGATAAGCACGGAAGACTTCCCCAAAGAAAATAGCGATAAAGGTGAAGGAATTACAATTAGAATTAAAATTAAGAAATTTTCGTACTCGACAGAACAACAAAATTTTTGCAAGTAAATGTTTACGCGCGAATGGCGAAGCTCTTTCGCCTACACCGCCATTTTCCCTAGGGGAAGCGCGCTATGCGCGGTACTATACACATGCAGGGAAACCACATTGATTTAACAAATTCCAGCAGAGTTCCAATAATCCCCTGGTTCAACTCGCATAGCCACGATCGTGATTTATTATTAAGATTTTTATCCTACAATTATTCCACGGTATTTCTAGCGTATTTCTTCGAATATTAAGAATACATAACTATTATGTGTACAAACGTCATATCTGTCGGACTTCCTCTTTTTATGTAATTACACTTCATATATTTTCACTTATCTTCCTAAAGAGTGATAATAAAAATCTTGTTTACTGTAGTATCACACGTCCTTCGTCGTTTCCGCTAGGTAATTATCAATGAAACTGCATTCCTATCGAAATTTTTATCGTTCCCTCCGATTCGGAAATGTTTAATTAGTAAAACAGGTCGACCGATTCATTTCTACTTCTTTTTACCTCTCCGATGCATTCAACAAAAATGATTGATCAATTCAAAGCGCAGCCTAACACTTGAAATATCAGAGATAAACGTAACAACCCCGACGAGTTTTCTACGGAAATATAAATCTTTTTTATTTAAATATTGCCATTTGAATACATGCGCGCACTTCATTAACTGTATTATTACAGCTGTAGAATTGTTATATTTTTGAAGCTAAAAATAAGTAATTGTGTTGATTGAATACGTAATATGCAAACCGTTGACCCGAATGGTGCAAATTTAACGTAACGGAGAACCTTTCGAATGTGTACTGTGAATTTCATGCGGTTCATTCTTCCGGTTAATTTACACCTTTAGGGTGCAAATAGACTGGAAGAAGGTACCAATATGAACAGAAAGCAAAGTTTACGTCAATGAAGGAGAACATAATTCTCGATTACAGATAATATAAAAACAGACAATTTCATATCCCATAATCAACTTTATACTATCTAAGCTACGTTCACTGATATCAATTTAATTCCTTGATCTAAACTTAGGATAAGTATAAGTAAAATGAAAAATGTAGAATTCATTTAAAAGGATATTAATACATTATTTCAAACGTTTGAAAGCAAATAAATGTCACTAACCTTAATACCGTTTAAAAGATCATATTTGCGACTATTGTTGCATTTATTGGCATGGTGCACTTTGTAAAGGTGAACGGGAACTGGGAAAAATATCAGTTATACAACTTCATTTAATTTCTGATATGTAGCATGTACGATCAATATATCGGTTATATCTCACTGTCATTATCAGCTTATTTCAATCATTACAAAATTGAGAATAAATGATTATGATTTTTTCCTATCATTATTTGAAATATTCAAACTTTTACGACGGACAATGTTTAAAATCAACATTTTAAATATAATTTTAGTTCAAACCATTTTTGAATGTTAAAAATGAATTTTTAAAAAAAATCTTGATTCTAGCGTGACAAAAATTTGTGAAATGTAAAAATTTCATTATAACATCTAGGAAAGTGTAAATAAAAATAACTTATGTGCTTTCGAAAATGCTTTTTTATTGAGTCGTATTTATCAATCGATACTATGTACGAATTTCTCCGAACATGTTATCTTAAATTTGTGAGGTCAGATACAGTCGCGATCAAAAGTTTCCGGTCACTACTTAAGACGGAATAATTTTTTAAAAATTGTGAAGTCAGTTTTGAACTACAACCCTTCCCAGAAGCATCTGATAACAAGAGAACTAGCTATGTGCAGAGTGCAATGCAACAATCTCAGGGGACCACCTTATTCTATTCTATCCGAAGTATAACTTACACTGTAACAAGCACAAAATGGAACTTCGTCTTAAAAATAATTTCATTGACGAGAAAATTTAGGCGGAATAAACCCAAATTGAAACAAATAGATACTATACCTCAATCACGGTGTACCGATAGAAGGACTTTTGTTGACTTTTAGACTATCTAAATATTACTGATAGCCTATGATAGTCTTTGAAGCACCATATTACGCACCCATGTATATGTTATCATTAGGAGGTAATGGATAGTAACCAAATATACAGTGGGTGTGTATAACAAAATAAAATATAACAAGAGACCAAAAATAGCAGTCATTTAAAAAATTTGTTCAAAAAGATGATTGAGGAAAAAGGTTCATTTTTATTCAAATGGAAAGTAGTTAGAAGTTTTTAATAAAACAATGATGAAATATTAAATTTATAACCAATCTATATAGAAAAATAGTTTCATATTTGTAGAACTAAAGTTGAAAAAAAGAAAGTTGACACGTAGTTGACACGAATTGCAAAACCTTGAGATACTGGTAATTATTACGAGCGTATACGATTTAATTAGTGTCAACAGCCACTGAACTTTAATTGTACCTTTAAGGACGTCACTCTTTCTTAACGCGCCCTGCTACAATTCATTATTTTCAATGAAGATGAAACAATGAAGACATTTAATAATTTCTTTACCTTCCACAAATGTAATTACAAAATTGTAAATGAATTACTAATAAATTATAAAAAAAAAATTTGAAAAGCTGAATCTAAACTCCGGTATATATTATTCTATTATTATTTATTCTAATCAATAGTTCTCTTACGAGTTGTACGTACGAAGCTTTCGTGACCAACTGTAAATATGATATTACCATAGTTTAAATTACGTAATAGATAATCTATGTTCCGATTATCTCAGATATTAATTTGAAATACACGATGATAAATTCAACGGACATAATTTTGTAAACATATGTAGGTATGCTCTAATGGGATCAAGATAACCTAAATAATGTGTCATTAGATTTTTTTTTCCAATTGTTACCTCCCAGGATGTAATGACAAAGAGTTTTAATAGCGAAACGTGTAACAGGAAACTCATAGATTTCACCTCTGTTTCATCGTTATGCTCTTACACGTACTACCACGAGTTGCAATTTAATGTACCCGCATATTTAATCTCAACTTTCAGTTCTCCAAAAATACGATGGACTGCTCTCAAACGGTAACAATAGTGCCTTTGTTACAGAGCCTGCCTAAGTGAAAAGTGGTCGATTACACACGAAAAGATAGGTTGAAGATACAGAAGAAAATATTTTAGAAGAAATCGACTAAATTAAATATGCACTTAAACTAGTAAGGCGATTTTTAAATCTACTATCTGTATGAGCATGTAGGTCAGATGATAAGTCTTGTTCCAGCAGTGATAGCTTCTTTCAATTTCGAAATCGTTTTTGAAGCTCTGATAAACATTCTTTCTTTAAAATATCGCCACAGAAAGAAGTTACACCGGTTTAAGTAAAATGAATAGGGTGACCAGTTTGTGCCTCCATCATCGCAGAAACCCTGGCAGATAATTCTAAGTTCTTCTAATACTTCTTTCTGTAGAAATATGTTAATGAAAGCGTTCGAGGATCACTTCGAACCATTGTATCATTAATTTTCATATTTTCATAGTATTATAAAGAGAAAGAAAGAATAGATTATAATTCTATACCACTATTTACAAAACGTTATATAAAATCATATTTTTTTTATGGAAGATTTAACAGAATCAAATTTAACTAAAGAAAATACTTAATTACCAGTAATAAAGGAAAGTTTTCGTACTTGACGTAGGTATCCATCGATTTGTTATGTATAGTCAGCAAACTTCTATAGCTGTCAGTAAAAAGCTCAAATATATTATTTATAAAAACTTAGATTCCAGGTTATTCCATTGTTATTAACATACCATACAAAAATCTATTGTTATGTTAAGAAAAAAGAAAAGATACCCTAAATAAAATCAAAAACTATCGCTGTTCATAATACTTTGATCGCCCATTGTATAAGGCGGTATTAACGTTATCTATTCTATTATCGAAATATTGTCAGAGGAGCAGCTATAGAGTATCGTAACAGCATGAATCAACCTTTACGCCCACTTCCTAATTCACCCCCTCGTGCTTTCTACGGTAACCTCGATATTTTGTATCGGAGGTATCGACGAGTAAAAGTGCAAGTGCAAAATATTTTTTTCCAGAATTTTTCTTAATCCACAGACAAATACAAGAAAGAAATATTAAACAAAATTCAGTAATAAGCGTTTTATTACAGAGTTACAAAGAAATATTATCGCAGTTTGTCAGATAATTTCAGAATTCCCTGTACGTTTCACTTATTTTTTTAAAGAGTAATTGTAAAAATCGAACAAACGCGTATACACTTTTCAATAAGTATGAAAAGACGATTTACCGGATTGTACATAAAGACTTTATATGTACACAATTCATTGTAAAGCTTTGAAGATCAAATTAAAGTCACACAAGCTTTCAACAAAATGAACTGAAACTACTCCAATGTTTGAATAGACCTTTCCACTTCAATTAAGAAAAGTACTTGATATTTTCGTTTCATTCTGTTAATGATACCCTAATCTCAATTACGAATAATTGTTTAAGTTAAACAATCCGTATATGTACTTTGCTTCTATTATTAATTTACTATCAAGATCTCTTTTTTAAGCGATCGTTAAAAGCCTCGTGAAATTTCTTTTTTTTTTTTTAAAGCATTGTTAACACGATGTGTAAAGGACATAAAAGCGAAGTAATGATATAAAAAAATATATGAAACTGCTGATATAATCTTTCGGTTCTTTTTTTAACGGTATCACTTGTTCAAAGATACTTGTATAAATCCATACTTTACACATACACATAAAAAGATTACAGATTTTGGCAATGAATTATTTAAAAGAGAAAATATCACACGCAAATACCAGATTAGACTGTCATAAAACAACTTATCTCTGTTCCGATTACAATCTTAATTGAGCGTGTCAAATCCCTTTATATCGAAACCCGTAGTATGTAAATACCCATGTACACTTTCCACATAATTGAACATTATATACACATAACATAAGCTGCATTGCACATAACACGTATCAACCACTTTACAATATTATTATTTATTTTCTATGATAACGAACATATAAAATCGTATAAGGTTGATACCTTACGACCATATGTTGAAATATTTCATTGTAACAAAAGTAAATTTTTGATATTCGTAAATAGCATAACTTTTTAAAAATTGATTTATAGCTTTTGCAGTATTTGTAATATCTTCTGTTAATTAAATTAGAGCATAAAATTAAAAAATTAAAATATCTTGTTTTTTTTTTAATCTCTATTTATTTATGTGGTTTATACTAAGGAACATAATTAATTTTATGCAAATTTAATTCAATAATATAGTACAGTTTTCGTGTAATGTAATTTTGAAATTTTATAATGTAAATAACTCCATTAAAACTCGATATTTTTGGAACTGTTTGCCAATCTAACTTCTATACGATGCTTTTTATCAGTTCCGGGTATAGATACATACTAAACAGCACCTTGATGTTCGCAAATTTGCGTAGTTAAGAAGGTAAAACCAATCACATAAAGTTGTTTAAAAAGTTATGCAACGTTTTATCTCAAATTGTTTACTGTTACAAAAGCATGTACAAAAAAAACTTAAATTTTATTAATTATAATAAAATCTAGCGTTATAAAACTTTACCTTGAAGGGTGTAATAAGAACCGCTCCCGAAAATGAAATATCAACATGAGTTTTCTGTAGAATTTAATCTAGCACCATCAATCTTTACTGAAAAACTTTTGATTGTCATATCGAAGAAATTTTGAAAAATACCGGCACAGTTCTCCTTTTCAAAATTGACAATTTATTCATCAAGTTTTCGAAGAATAATAATCGTTATTAGGTTAAAATGTACGATAGCAAAGACCATGGAGCGTCCTGAACGCTGTGCGAATGTTCCCTGAATTGACTGTTTCGTACCATGCGATACGAAGAATATCGCGAATTGACGAAGAAAAAGTGCCGAGGGCAGCTGAACTTACCATTTCAAAAAGGCGTTGGAGTAAACCACGTGTTTAGCCGCGAGATACGAGTAACAGTGCACCACGAAGATGCACCTCGATGATGCACCCACCCTTGGTCACATGTCCAAATCCTTCACGTCAGGCACCACCTATGCGCGAGATTATTCATTCCTGATCGAGCAGTTCACGTAGTAGACGGTTGGCCTAGCCCGTCGCTTCTGTACTCTCGCTACATCCTCCTCCTACTCCGGCGCTACCTCTTTTTCCTGCTGTTCCTACTCCTCCTCCACGTCTCCCTATTCCACCTCTGGGTATGCGCAGTTCCTTTTCCCTTCCGTGGACGCTGCGCGTTGAACGGTACTCCTTTTCACCCCCTTTGTCCCATCGTCAGCACCCCGAACTTTGTCGGTATTACACATATCGAGATACCAAGGGGAAAATCTATAAGAGCCGCGTCTGCGCTCTACCATGGAGAAATTTGCGCGCTAAGCCTCGTTCAGCTTATTTAATTGTCGTGCAAGCGCATCCTGTACGCCCATCAGGATCTTTGTCATTTTAAGAAAAATTAGCAAACGGTCACGGTCAAAATATTGTCCTCTTCACCAAAGGTTTTTTTAATGGGTTATTTTATATAGGACTCTGGTTTCAATATGAATTCATTAAAATATTTTTTGCGCTATAAGAAAAGTAGTAGTAGAGCTCAAAAGACAGTTTATAAAAAGATGTAAGTTGTAACATGACTAATAATAAGGAAATCATTCCGAGTGCCCCCCTCAGATTTTAATGAGCTTTTGTAGGTTAGCAGATTATATTGTTAGAAGTATTTTTATATATGGTTTAGAACGCAGATAGACGATAGTTTAAAAGATATCTAATCTATTTTTAAGGAACGTAGCGCGCCTCCTGACCATACTGTTCAACCACCGATGCTATGCAGATAGCTGTTCTCAGGCGTCACTCACTCGAATTTACAAATTAAAGCCACGAACGGCATTTTGTCATTTTTGATTTTCATTTTATTTTGACCTCCAAAATCACCTTTTAAATTTTCTTCCCCTTGATTCTGATCTATTAGTATACAAAAGCTCATTAAAATGCGAGGGGAAACTTGGGGTGGTTTTTAGGTATTAATCTTCTTCGTCGCCAATCATAGTTTAGTTACTAGAGCAGGCATGTACACGAATTGCCCGTACGAGCGCCTGACTGCGTCGAGCTCGCGTTTAGTTTCTCTCGGTGTGAGCGTCGCTATTAAGCTCGCATGTGAACGTAAGCAATAGACCTTGCCACTGACTCTCTACTCAGGAATGAGAAAGAAGGAAACATTGCCTCTAAAGCGGCCTACACACAGTGAGACCTTGGTAGATCAAACTGATATCATCAAATATTATATATTTATTAACAATAAAATAATACAGTTCTTAATATTATTACTATTTAAAAATAAATATTGAACAAAATTTCAGTAAATTTTTATGGGGAAATATCATTATAAATTAATTTAAAAATACATAAAAATTTGACAATTTTGAACTACTTATGTAGGCTGTTTCTTTCGTTGCTTAAAAATATAATCTTAAATCGATAACAAAATAAATTTCTTTAAATTACTTATGTACAGTTCTTTGACTAGCGTCTGATGCAGTCTTCTGTAGTTGAATCCGTTACGTAGCGAGAGTTGCACAAATGTTTTATATTTTGAAATGGTTCATTGATTTTCCTGAAAAAAAGAAATATGAACAGTATTTTATATAATTATTATAAGCACTTAGGACAATGGTAGTGTTATTTAATTTATATATTTACCTCTTCAATTCTGATATTTCAGTTACAATATCCCTGTTTCCATCAAACCGTTCATAACTGATGGAAATGAATATGTACAGTCATTGCTATAAATTATAAAATTTTAATAATTTAAATCCTTAGATTAATTTTTATATATATACTACCAAAATATATAGTCTTAAATTATCTTACTTGTCAACATTTATATACAATATTTTGAACATTAGTACTTTCATTATCTTCAACATAAGATAATGTTCACGGCATCCATGACAAGCTCTTCCCCTCTTTTCGTAATCTATCTGACTCATACGACGTTCATCTCCGCGTCTAATTCCTACGACCTCAATGTCAATGATACCAGTTTGACCAACTAACAAATTCTGTAACTTAAAGCTACATAGCTGTACCCTCTCCCTCAGCTTGTAGCAAAGTAAATATTTAACATATGCATATAAGTAAATGATCCATTCCGGTCGTAGAACCCATTATTCCTTACAATACCCTGTAAAAAATAATTTTTATTTTTATCAAATTAAATATATTTGAAATTTTCAAAAATATGCAAACTGTGTTTCTTTTTACCCTCTTAATCTTCAGGATCTGTACTCTCATCAGAATCACTTTCCGATTCATCACTTGGTAGTTCTAAATTATCTGTTATTTCTTCTACTAATCCATCTTTTCGCCAATAGTCTCCCTCGAGCTTCTCCACGTGTTCACAGAAATTCTTCCAGTCTTTTTGTGTCACTTCGTTAATCGCCTCCATGATGTATCTTTCTAGCTCACTGCTCGATGAAACGAATATTTTTTTCTCTCTTAATTTCTTCTTTACCTGGGACCAAGCCAGTTCGATAGGATTCAGGTCAGACATACTCGGTGGTAATCGTAAGGCATTGTGCCCGTGTACTTTTAGTATCTCATCGACTTTAAACGTTTTCTTTAATTTCTTGTGTCTATCTACCAGCTCAAGCAGTTGGTATTTCCTCATATTCTGTGCATACGGGATATTATTTTCGACCAGCCATCGAAGAATGTCTTCTTTCTTGGAATAATTCGAGGGCGGTTTGTTTAGTCGAGCTGAATGGTAGGGGGCGTTATCCATAACTACTACGGAGTTAGGAGGAATGTTAGGCAGTAATTTTTCAGTAATCCATATTTCAAAATTTGCCGCGTTCATTTGTCCGTGGATGTCACTAGGTGTCGTTTGAGACTCGAATATCAGTTCTCCCCCCTTTATAAAACCATCTTTTCCTCCCGCGTGAATAATAACCAAACGGTTTGATGAATTTGTGTTCTTCATAATTCCTATTTCCTTACCGTCCCAACATTTATGAAAATACAAGGTGTTGTCTACCCACGTTTCGTCAATGTAAATTATAGGTCTATTTTGCTTGCGATAATATTCTATTGCTTTCAGATATTTAGCTCTCCAAGCTATAAAATTTGGCTTTTCAATTAATACCTTTTTAATGCTATTTGTCTTCTTCCATTCAAAACCCATGCGCTGCAGTAATCTATACAAACTATGTATTTCCCAGGGGAAGTCGATTTTTTCACGTATCGCTGCTAATATTTTAGGACCAGTAGGCATAATTTTTTTTTCCAAGTAGAAATCATAGATAACACCTCTTATTACCGCCTGATCCTCCAGTGAGCAGCGAAACTTTTTATCCTCCCTTTTCGGGCGTTTCGTTCCCGGTGTTGGTAGAGGTTCATCTTCTCTATACGTGGAATCCTCCTTTCGAATACGACTAATGGTTCTAATACATGTTCCAGTGTAAAACGAAGCACGGAGATTTGCTTGCTTAAGTAGATAAATCATTGCGCCTTTACGCGCTTCTTCGTCACACTTTTTTATTACGCGCCGGATTATGTTCCGGGCTTCACTACGAATTGTTTGACCCTGTTTACGTTCCATAGTGATGATAAAATATTTAATGCAACACGCTCCGTACCAGAATTTTTCTCCTCTCTCTTCCACTATCTGAAACTGCAAAACAATCTTATAAATTAGAGGTTACGAAGATAAAAAACGTATTTTGTATACAGAATAAACTCTTTATACGACAGAAAATGTATCCATGTTAAGAATATAATTATCTGCATAAGAATAAATTTACTTACATTTTATTACTTTGTTCAAAATGCTTTGTCACACTTGCAATCGTACCTGTGCATGCAGATTCGTTGAGCTACCGAGTTACAGAGGTTATGCTTTATTCCAAGTTTTTTCCCTTTGTGGTAGATTTACGAAGCATCCTGCAGTGACTACAGATAGTAGAAAACAGGACATGCCTTTGTTACCGATGGGTGATCATTTTTAGGGTACGCGGTACCCCAGTATGAAGTTAGGTTTCCACAGTCGGTATAACAGTCGTGCCTGTTTTGTAGGTTCTTCTGTTACCGTACCTCATTGGCACAAGTACCTTATCGACTACGGTAAGGTGAAGAGACGTATAAGTACTTACTTACTTACTTACTTACTTACTTACTTACTTACATGTGTATACCGCAGTTCACCAAAGTCCATATTGCGAAAAGACCAGTTTTCGTTCTTCGCGCATCTCCAGTACGCATCTTCGCCCTGATTGGCGATACTTCCAAACGAAGTGGAAAGCGATTAGCAGAGAGCTCGCTGCATTCCCCCACCATCTTCCAACCTGCGCGTCGCAGTTATGGACTCTGGTGAACTGCGGTATGTAGTAAAAGCTGGATATACATATGCAACGAAAGATTGGCTGGATATATGCAACATCGCTATCCCCTCCGCTTGGGGGGATCCCCCTAAGCGAACTGAGACGCTCGGCGAGGAAGCCGTGTAATACGATCCGAACGTATTGACTTCGTATTGACTTTCAGACCATCTAATTATTACTAATAGCCAATGATAGTCTTTGAAGCACCATGTTGCGCACCCATGAATATCTTATCATTACGAGGTAATGGATAATAACCAAATATACAGTGGGTGTGTATAACAAAATAAAGTATAACATGAGACCAAAAATAGCAATCACTTAAAAAATTTGTTCAAAAAGATGATTGAGGAAGAAGGTTCATTTTTATTCAAATGAAAAACAGTTAGAAGTTTTTAATAAAGCAAGTTTCTTTGATTAGCGTCTGGTGCAGTTCTCTGTAGTTGGATCCCTTACGTAGCGAGAGTTGCACAAACGTTTTGTGTTTTGAAAGGGCTCATTGTTTTCCTGAAAAGAAGAAATATGAACAATATTTTATATAATTATTATAACCACTTAGGACAATGGTAGTGTTATTTAATTTATATTTTTACCTCTTCAATTCTGATATTTCAGTTACAGTATTCCTGTTTCCATCAAATCGTCCATAACTTGATGGAAATGACTGTGTATGGTCATTGCTATAAATTATAAATATTTCAATAGTTTAGATCCTTAAACTAATCTTGATACATGTACTACCAAAATATATATATATATATTTAAATTATCTTACTTGTCAACGTTTATATACAATATTTTGAACATTAGTACTTTCATTATCTTAAACATAAGATAATGTTCACGGTATCCATGACAAGCTCTTCCCCTCTTTTCGTAATCTATCTGACCCATACGACGGTTCATTTCGGCGTCTAATTCCTACGACCTCAATATCAATGATACCGGTTTGATCAACTAACAAATTCCATAACTTAAAGCTACATAGCTGTACCCAGGCCCGGCGTCAGGGGGGCGCGCGGTCGCGCAATCGTCCAGAGCGTTAGATCTGTAGGGGGCGCCGCAACCCGGTGTCCCTAGTACGCGAATATACCGATATTTTCTTATTGCCTCTTCTCTCTATCTACATCTCATATGTAATATTACATATATGTTATATATGCTGCGACATTTATGTCTACATCTTCCCTGACGCGTCTTTTAGCCCCTGAATGGGCGCCACGATAATCTTGCCCGGGGCGTCAATATTGCTAAAACCGGCCGTGGCTGTACCCTCTCCCTCAGCTTGTAGCAAAGTAAATATTTAACATATGCATATAAGTAAATAATCCATTCCGGTCATAGAATCCATTATTCCTTAAAATGCCCTGTTAAAATAATTTTAATTTTTATCAAATTAAATATATTTTAAATTTTCAAATACATGTAACCTGTATTTCTTTTTACCCTTTTAATCTTCAGAATCTGTGCTCTCATCAGAATCACTTTCCGATTCATCACTTGGTAGTTCTAAATTATCTGTTATTTCTTCTACTAATCCATCTTTTCGCCAATAGTCTCCCTCAAGCTTCTCCACGTGTTCACAGAAATTCTGCCAGTCTTTTTGTGTCACTTCGTTAATTGCCACCATGATGTGTCGTTCCAGCTCACTGCTCGATGAAACAAGTATTTTTTTCTCTCTTAATTTCTTCTTTACCTGGGACCAAGCCAGTTCGATAGGATTCAGATCAAGTATACTCGATGGTAATCGTAAGGCATTATGCCCATGTACTTTTAGTATCTCATCGACTTTAAACGTTTTCTTTAATTTCTTGTGTGTATTTACCAGCTCAAGCAATTGGTATTTCCTCATATTCTGTGCATACGGGACATTATTTTCAACCAGCCATCGAAGTATATCTTCTTTCTTGGAATAATTCGAGGGCGGTTCGTTTAGTCGAGCTGAATGGTAGGGGGCGTTATCCATAACTACCACGGAGTTTGCAGGAATGTTAGGCAGTAATTTTTCGGTAATCCATATTTCAAAATTTGCCGGGTTCATTTGTCCGTGGATGTCACTAGATGTCGTTTGAGACTCGAATATGAGTTCTGCCCCTTTTATAAAACCATCCTTTCCTCCCGCGTGAATAATAACCAAACGGTTTGATGAATTTGTGTTCTTCATAATTCCTATTTCCTTACCGTCCCAACATTTATGAAAATACAAGGTGTTGTCTACCCACGTTTCGTCAATGTAAATTATAGGTCTGTTTTGCTTGCGATAATATTCTATTGCTTTCAGATATTTAGCTCTCCAAGCTATAAAATTTGGCTTTTCAATTAATACCTTTTTAATATTAATAGTCTTCCTCCATTCAAAACCCATGCACTTTAGTAATTTATGGAGACTATGTATTTCCCATGGGAAGTTGATTTTTTTACGTATCGCTGCTAATATTTTAGGACCAGTAGGCATAATTTTTTTTTCCAAATAGAAATCGTGAATAACACCTCTTATTACCGCCTGGTCCTCGAGTGAGCAGTGAAACTTTTTATCCTCACTTCTCGGGCGTTTCGTTCCCGGTGTTGGTAGAGGTTCATCTTCTCTATACGTGGAATCCTCCTTTCGGATACGACTAATGGTTGGAATGGATGTTCCAGTATAAAATGAAGCACGGAGATTTGCTTGCTTAAGTAGATAAATCATTTCGCCTTTACGCGCTTCTTCGTCACATTTTTCTATTACGCGCCGGATTATGTTCCGGGCTTCACTACGAATTGTTTGACCCTGTTTACGTTCCATAATGATTATAAAATATCTAATGCAACACGCTCCGTACCAGAGTTTTTCTCCTCTCTCTTCCACTATCTGTAACTGCAAACCAATCTCATAAATTAGTAGTTATGTATACAAAAAACTTGTATACTTGAATGTTTTGTATACAAAATAAACTCTTTATACGACAGAGAATGTATCGATGTTAACAATATGATTATCTGCATAAGAAAAAATGTACTTAGATTTTATTACTTTGTTCAAAATGCTTTGTCACATTCACAATCGTACCTGTGCATGGAGATTCGTTGAGCTACACAGGTTATGCTTTATTCTAAGCTTTTTCCCTTTGTGGTAAATTTTCAAAGCACCTCTGTCTTTGCAGCTTTGCAGTGATTACAAATCCAACACAGTGACAGTGACTACAGATCCAACAAAACCGAACATGCCCTTATTATCAAGGGATGACGATTTTGGGGATTCCTGACACCCTCAAGTAAGGTTAGGTCTGTATATGCATAGCACAGTTAGTATCTTTTTTACCAGTCCTTTTCTACCACACCTTACACTCCCAACTGAAAAGATACAAGTTTGACTCCCTTTTATTATATTTCTTAGAAATTAGTCAAAATCAGCACAAAAGCGAGAAATTATTAGAATAATTATTTGATGAAATTGTACTTACAAACTAGTATTTTCAAAAGGCCGCCATAAATTAAAATTATTTGAGAATTCAAATAATATATCGGAACGAGTAAACCCCTAATGTTTAATTAAATTATCAGAAACCTTTTAATCTGGCATGTAGTAAGTTTAACGATCTCATTAAATAACTGTAGCAAAGGATTTGCATGAATTAGTAAATAAAATTAACTCGATATTTCATATATTTTTATTCGTTGTTAACAGTTGACATGAATTTTATTTAGTACACATTCATGGATTCGTATTGAAGATAACATGATATGAATATTCGGATAAGTTTTCAACACATGATATACGAAATAAAAATGATAATCTTTGTATAATGCATAATAAAACGATGTTACAAATTATTTTTTTCCGCTAAATAAATTTCATTTTTAAATACATACACATCTGATCTATTCCGAAGACTTATTCTCTTCTTAATGAATATTTCTAAATAAAACGTCAATTTGCTACTATTAAGAGTTAGATATTGTTTGTATAATTCACAATTAATAATTTTGTTCTTATAATTACAATTAGTTGTTCGTAAATATAATTACATAAACAAAGCCGTAGTTGCACATGTATTATATAACAGAATACCTAATGAAACACTTTGATACATACAAAATAATTGTAAAAATAACTATTTGTATATGTAATTAAATTCAGCCAAATATGTAGTAATTAATTAACTGAAAGTATTAAAATCAAATTTTGCTACGAACTTCATTTTCACAACTGTTAGGTTAATTAGAATAATGTATAAAAATGCACCCATTGCAAATGGGACATTACTTTTAAGGTCACATAAAAATAAAAGACAGGCTATATAGTGAGTACCACAAACCTAATAACACTGACGCAAATCCTGAAAATTCAGGACTCAATTTTTCATTGGAAATTATTATACAAATGAATGGAGATTTATTTATAGATACAGAAAATTGACTACTTATTTAAAACAAAATTTAGTATCTGAATTCCGCAACAAATGGTAGTATCTTGTAAAACAAATAGGTGTTTCCATGCACTCTTGTACCATACCTTTTATTTTTATACTGAAGATCATCAGATCTGTAACAATGAAAACATTATTTTATTGACAAATCAAATTGATGATATTAGATAATTAAATACTTAAAAATAGAAAACTCACATTGTCAACATCATCTTCATCATCATCACTAATTTCATCACCAAATTCAATATCTTCATCAAAACCATCTTCGACAAAGGTGACAGTGTCATTGATTCTTACTATAACAATGTTAAAAAAAATTACTAGAATGCTAATTCTAAATTGAAATTTGGATAAGTAAGAATATAACAAATTGTGCTTACCAGTTTCAGGGAATTCACCATAAGTTTTCAAATTACGTGCTTCATCTGATGTGTATTTCAATATAACATCAGCTTTTGCATTTTGATAGTCTCGCAAACCAATTAGTATTATATCACCTTGATTAATCCATACTTTTTTCCTCAATTTTCCACGAATGTGACATAATCGTTTCACACCATCAAAGCACATTGCTTCTAACCTACCATTCCCAAGCATTTTTGTAACTTGTGCATATTCTAAACAAAATATAAAAACATTAAACGATTCATTTACTCAAACTTGAAATTATATATATCAAAAATATTAAAAATTTCGAAAGTCTTTGTATTTACTTAGTACTAGCAACATATGTCAAAAATAAGTTTCACGCAAATAATTTCACAAAATTACAAAAGCTCATCGAAAATAAAATAAAGTATTATGTGTAACGTTATAAATTTTACCTTGTCCATCTTCTTTGAAAACCAACTCTCTTTTTTCAGTTTCATTTTCGTTCTTACCCCTTCTCCTGTTTTTACCTCCCTTTCCTAAATAAAAAATAAGTTCGATGATAATTGAAGAATAATTTTCTACGATTTAGAAAATATTTTCCAATAAAAGATTTCGGTATCTGGTATGATATGGCCATTAATTTCGAGAACAAACTTGACATTAACAGGTTAGAAGAGATTAACCACATTGCACATTGAAAACTAAATGACCTCTGTACAAATAATTCTACAATTTTCATAAAGAACAGACACGATACAATAAAATTAATTACGAACCTTTATTCTTCGGCATGTTGACTTAACGAAATGTGCGTAATCAGTAAAATATACGAAAAGTTCAGATCACAAGAAAGAGCAATTCACTCAATATCCTAAAAGCCAGTTTTGCACCATTAAACACCTCATGGAAAAGACATAGACTACCCAATAATGTCAGAAGCACGAAACTCTGCAGTGTTACGGCCTCTTCCGTTTCAAAGAAATAAACATTATATATTAAAAATTACTTTTATAATTTTCACAACATTCTAACTACAATATTAAACGCGAAGTTTGTCAAGGTTTAGATATTAAATTGACTAATTGTTGGTGACAAGTTAAAAGGGAAGTATATTCAATTATATTTGCTGGGGTAAATCTAGGAAGTATATCTTCAATAGTTGGTGCCCTATAGATAAGAATCCTTTGTCTAAAATACAGTTATCACCGACGAGATACAGTATCTCGTCGGTGATGTAGTATAGCATGCCGTTAGTTGGATGCAATAACTGAGGTGGGGCTTAAATCAGTTTCTGTTCGGCCTAATTTTCGATGAGACGTTGACTGTTTTACCGATGCGAAATTCGGAGTTCGGCCTCTACGCTCGATAAAAAGATATTTAATTTTAAACTTTTAATGATAAAAGAAGGTTCAAAGTGAGAAAAATTTGATTTCTTCAACTTCCATCTATGTATATTCTCTGTATAAAATACTCTCATTTAACATGATATATGTTGTTTTACAATTTTTGTGATACAATGTATAAAAACAAAGCTTATAAACTCTACTGTATTCATACTATTATTTCACCCTGTAATGGTAACTATTGTATAATCATACAAGTATTTTAGATTGTATGGTATCATTAACATTGTATTATAAGTCTATGAAAAGATCGAAGGTATACCGCAGTTCACCAGAGTCCATAACTGCGAAAAGACCAGTTTTCGTTCTTTGCGCTTCTCCAGTGCGCATCTTCGCCCTGATTGGCGATACTCCCAAACGAAGTGGAAAGCGATTAGCAGAGAGCTCGCTGCGTTCCCCCACCATCTTCCAACCTGCGCGTCGCAGTTATGGACTCTGGTGAACTGCGGTATAGATGTGTAAATATAACTCTGATAAAATTCGTTATTGTTTGTGAACAAGAATTATACTTCGTTAATATTGGTAAACGTAACTATAACGTTGAACAACAATAAAATACAATCTAAAGATTAAATTGCATAACATGATATTATTAAATGTTTGAAAAGGTTGCTGTAACGAGAAAGAAAATAAAAAAAGAAGGATATTCAATATATCTATTTAAAATTTATAAATACAAAATAAATATAAATTACTAACGCCAAGACGCGTTAGACGTTGTTTAAAAAAAAAAGAATCTGCATTTTTGTTTTCTCGTGGATCACTTATTTTACACTTTTTGGAACTAAAATGTTTGTCGTTGATAATACGTTCGTAATGGATTTTCGTTTGCACATGTTGTTGTTTTTTCGCTGGCGTAAAATGGTAGATTGTTGTAATAATCTGACGACCAAACATTGAATTCCATAGCGCAAGCACATTCCATTATAAAACCATTACCTGAAAGGAGAGATAAAAAATATGTAAATTCTAGAAAATAATTTAATTATATTAATTATTAATTTCTATAAAATAATTCTAGATACAAAATAATAAATTCTTTTTCTTGGAACACGATTGCAATTACCCATTTTACTTATAAAATAATGGATAAACATTAGGAAAAAAAAATGTATTTATCACAATGTTTGTTACTTACAAGTAAAATTCGTTTATTATTCTTAGTATGTCGCAATCGTTACACGGTGTCATATATCGTACCTGAATGGTCGTCGGACTCCGTATGTCATAATAATTTGATGTTGCTCGGACAGCCATGGTTCATTCTATATTCCACGTAAAGCATTCCAGTATTATGCCAATAGTAAAGAGCCAATACCACTAATGCATGCCACCATTGATGAGAGGAACCGATATAATCCACCCAGCCTTTAATATAAAAGGAAATTGAATAAGTATGGGAAGAAAATTTCAAATTCACCAAGTGTTTTCCATGCAAGAAAAATATGGAAAATTGAAAACAATAACTGATAATGCGATACGAGAATGATCATTTCCATTGTAATACGATCATTTACAATTCCGTGCTTTATATTTAATTCATCGACTGACGTCAACAGAAAAATATTTTTTCCGTGAAAAATATTACGGTATTAATTAAATGCTTGCTCCAAATATCAAAATATGATTTTATTTATTTATTTTTCATATATAATAATCTATTAGTATCAGGTGTCTATAGTGATCTTCGATGAATACTTAATGATGGCTGGTTATAGTCATCCTTAGTAGTGAAAGGGTTAATTTATTCTAATGTACCATCGGACCAAAAGGGTTCAAATAAATCTTATAATGATAATAATAATGGTGTTTATTATTTAAAATTACCTGGACAGAAGCGTTCTGGTATTTTGCTGAGATAAATAATAAATGCTACACCACTAATGACATACATTCCTAGTACCCTTGGAAGTAACATTCTAACGATCGGGTTGTCCATTCCACCCATAGCAATGCTCCAATGAAACGTTGGCAGTACTCCATAAGCTGCCCATGCGACGAAAACGACTAGCTTGATGTTCCCATTAATATTCAGTTTTGGTACTTGTAGGATCATTGCGAATACAAAGATAGCCAGGACAGTGATCAGATAAAAGCTCTGCAATTCCTGTAAATAGATAATCAATTTATGATTATTATTTAGGGTAAATAATTTCTAACACGTAGAAATAAAAATTGAAGAAATTCAAATAAAATGGAGAAAGTATCTGAAAAAAGTGTCTATAGATCTATGGACTCTTTCTTCCAGAAACGTCTTGAATTAATAAATGAATCGATATATAAGATAGTGGAAATGTAAGATTTACAATCTGACAAATTTGTATACTACTTTAGTTAGTTACGTAATTTTGTTCACCTTGTGACACCAGAAAGCGTAATAAACTCCAGACATGTATATCGACAGAAGGCTTAACGCGATCCCAAACAAATCGAAGGACAAGAAACACCAGTAATCCTTTTCACTTCGACAGGAAAACGTATGATACACCGAAGACAATACCATGCAAGCCTAAAACAATAAATTTGAAAATTATTAACATGTAGCTCGGTCAGAATAAGGGGAAGTTATAAATTAAACCATTAAGAAGTAACATGATTGATGTTGAAAAATATATTGTACAGTGTCATTGCTATTGAGCAATGCCATTTAGTATTTCTTGAATTTTTATTCATGGATAATTTACAACTTCTACTCCGCTAATTCGATAGGGGTAGATCTCCTCAAGTGAGCTTCAGAGCAAGAGAGTTAAATATTTTTGAATATTACCTGGAAACAGATTAATAAAAGAGCTACTATCACTTTGTCACCCATAGGTGCATGAATATTCAGTAGACAAAGGTCATACAGGGTCAGACCGAAAAATAACATCCATCCAAATATGTGGCTCCATATGTTTACTGTTTCGTTTGTCCACCAGAATATGCTGGAATACATCATTTTCATAAATGAAATATGAAAAGTTTATAAGTTATCGTACATTAATACTAATATGTCGATTATCATTTAGTCTGATCTTTTCCTCTGTTAACCATTATTAACAAACCTTTCGACGCATAATTTTGTAGTAAGATATCCTCGATATCCGTGAAGAATATATGGATTGTGTTGAAGATATTCAGGGGCTTCCTTGTAAGGAAGAAGACGCCTCATTTTCTCTTCATCTTCAGGCGTGATTTTACCTTTGAGAGGCGAGTTTTCGAGTTTTCTGGAGGAAGTTCGGTACACCTGAAGAAAATCATACGTATCATTCTGAGATTAAGGAACTTCCTTCTTATTGATATTTAAATTTTTATCAACTTTGATGCAAGTCTATATTAACATTAAAAAAAAGTACTTATCGTCGTTAGGTATTTTTATTTTTATTTATTTACTTATTTATTTAAACGAAACTTACATGAGTTAAAACTCTTATAAATCAAATTTATAATTTTAAAATTTACTATATTTTCAAAGAATTCTTTGGTATAATAAAATTGAATTAGATCTTCTACTTCTTTTCCATTTCAATCAACTGTAGACATTTTTAGGAAAACTGGAGGACTTAGTTCACCCCAATCTAAAATCCTAGCTACTCCATTGATTGCAAAGATTAATTTAAAGTTTACATAGACCTATTCACTCTCATTTGACGCTAAAACATCCGCATAGGCTTAATAGTTTGTCGGTCGCTCCCATATCGCCTAAGCGGTTTCAGGATGTAGAAACGAAGCTGATATCTAAAGATACGAAAGCTGTGAAGTAGGTCGCAACGGGACTCGCCTTTCATCTCAGTGTGTCAAGTTTATACCGCGGGCTTTCTTCTCAGACTTCTCAGTATCTTTCACTAGCGAAATCGATTTTTCACTTCGCTATACTAACAACTGTGCTACTCTGTAACCAACATATCTATACATCCTTCCTTCGTGAGAGATACAGGATATCCCGAGTGTTACCGCAAAATTCCGAGACTTTCCATGAACCGCGCAAAAAATAATGTCAGATGAAAGTTGAACTACGTTTAACCCCTCATTACACGGTCCCTTGCCTCTACTAAAACAATCAAGTGTCGAGCATCTAGTTTTGCTTAATTTTAACATAATTTTTATTGCACCTATTTTATATTTAGTTATATTGCATATTGCATTTTCGTCCAAATGAATTTAATTCTATTCTTTTGTTTGTGTTTCAAGTTGTCTAATAATATCTGATAACAAGATCTTCTACTTAGTTATGTCAATGAATATTCATGTTTTTTAAAAATAGACAGATAAATGAAATTTTAATTTACAGAAGCTATAGAGATTTCAACGTAATTAAATTTTTGTTTTACATTTTAACAAATTAGTGGAATGCCTTGTTTCACGGCGATGCAAACGTGGGATATTTTGTATAATTGCTACTGTGTCCACTTAGACTAATTGTTTCAAATAATTACAGTATGTTCCAGATAGGAGCATATTCAACTACAGGCAATTACAGATATTCACTGTTCTGCGGATACGCGTTATTACTAATTAAATATTTTGTAGGTGTATCATTTTCTCCAAAGAAAATTAAAATTAATAAAAGATTCTTCAGGCGCTTTTACCTTGTGTACATACATCCTACCGACGTGAAACGGATATTGGCATTCGTTTTAAGTTATAACCT